GACCACTATTATAAGAACTCAAGAAAAGGTTTAAACACAGAAGAAAACATTCTTTGATGGTTACGAGGGTGGGGAGGGAAGGACAGTGGTATTGACTAACTAGATTGTAGACAAGAATTAATCTCAAGTGAAGGGAAGGACGACACACAATACAGGGAAAGTCAGCACAACTGGACTAAACCAAAAGCTAGGAAGTTTCCTGAATACAACCAAACACTTCAAGGGACAAAGTAGCAGGGGTGGGGGTCTGGGAACTATGGTATCAGAGGACATCTAGGTCAACTGACATAACAAAATTTATTAAGAAAATGTTCTGCATCCCACTTTGGTGAGCAGCGTCTGGGGTCTTAAGAGCTAGCGACTAGCCATCTAAGATGCTTCAATTGGTACCAACCACTTGGAGTAAAGGAGAACGAAGAACACTAAAGACACAAGGAAAGTATTAGCCCAAGAGACAGAAAGGGCCACATAAACCAGAGACTCCAGCAGCCTGAGACCAGAAGAACTAGATGGTGCTCAGCTACCACCAATGACCACCCTGACAGGGAACACAACAGAGAGTCCCTGATGGAGCAGAAGAAAAGTAGGGTGCAGAACTCAAATTCTAGTAAAAAGATCAGACTTAATGGTTTGACTGAGACTGGAGGGACCCTGGAAAACACGGCCGCCAGATTCTCTGTTGGCCCCAAACTAAAAATATTCCCAAGGCCAACTCTTCAGACAAAGATTAGACTGGACTATAAGATATAAAATGATACTTGTGAAGAGTGTGCTTCTTAGCTCAAGTAGATACATGAGACTAAATGGGCAGCTCCTGTCTGGAGGCGAGATGAGAAGGCAGAAAGGGTTAGGAGCTGGTTGAATGGACACAGAAAATCAGGTGTGGAAAGGAAGAATGTGCTGTCACAGTATATGGAGAGCAACTAGGGTCACAGAACAATGTGTGCTTAAAATTTTGTATAAGAAACTAACTTGAGCTGTAAAACTCCCTTAAAGCACAATAAAAATAAATAAATAAATAAATTTGCATGAAAGTTTGATAATTTGGCCAAGTGTTCACATGAACCAATGTCATTATAAATTTCAGAGCCATCCTTTGGATTTAGCCCAAGGGAAAAAAGATTTTGTTTCTGGAGCTACCATAATAAATCCTTGTTTTTCCATTAAAACGATTATTTAAATATTCAGGTTTGCTTTTCAATTTTTATAATACTTACATGGAATGCAGATCAGATAAATTGTAAAATGCTGAGTTCCCCACAAAAGATAGAGGATTATCATACAAATGTCTGTAAAAATAATAAAAACCACAAATTTTTCATGTGTTCACAAGAAATCCAATATTAAATCTATGTTCACAAAGGCTATATATCTAAAAACTTAAATTTTCATTTTCTATCCAGATGTTTGGCATTGTACAGACATAGCTTTAGATGATTACACATTAAAAACACTTTCAGAAATACTTACATAGTTCTTAAGAGTGGATTACCACCAAATGCTCCATCAGGTATAATAGAAATAGAATTACTATGAAATCCCCTAAAAAGATAGGAGAAAAATATTTTGAAATGTACATCTCCTTGTGAAATCAGTTAAAACTCAAGTATCTACTGCTGTTAAGTATTATATAAAACACAACTGATAGTGACTAAAGAAAAATTTTTTAAAATGTGGGGAACGTGAATTTTTAATTCCAACTCATCTTTTTCAGGACCATATCAAATTTCTTTTTAAAACCCACTGCTTATCCTAGTTATCTATCGGAACCTTCATATACATTTATCTGTTGCTTTATCATTCAAGAACTTTAGACTACAGAGAATGAAGTGTTCTTCCCCAAATCTTTCACTACTGCCTGCATTTAGTCTTTTAAGCAATGTGGTTTAGAATATTCGCTGCCAACTCACCACATGTCATCTGTTATGCGATATACATTCTTACCTCTGCTCATGACAAACCCTAACATCCAAAACTCTCCCTCAATCCTTTCATCTATGTAAATTTTTCTGTTCTTTCAAGCCCAAATTCCTCCTCTTTAGCGATGTCTTTACCAATGACCCCAAGCCTTAATGAGCTCATTTTCTGGAATGATTTCTTAATCCTACTCATTCAGCACTTTTTTCTACCTCCAAACTATCTGCCTGTCTTATGCGGTTGGGTTCTCCAATAGGACTAAGACTGCAAGCTCCTTAAAGGCAGAGACCATACGTTACACCTTTTTCTGACACCAATATCTAGCCCTATACAATGGTCTATGCTCAAAATTGTCCATGCTAGCTAATACAATCCAATTTGTATGATTATATGCATGTTTCTGTGTGTGTTATGGATATATATATAATGGAACAAAGATGTTCTAAAATATCATGGTAGATACATCGAATGGTAAGTTATAGGGATATCAAGGCATAGAGAGAACAAAGCAATACTCACAGCTCTTTTAGGCTAGGAAGGGCTTTAATTGCCTGAGGAAATTCCCCCAAGTTATTATAATTCAAGTCCCTAGGGGAAAAAAAAGGGGGGGGGGGACATCCAAGAATACTGAATTGATCACAACTTATAAGGCATTTTGGTACAAATGTATTTTAAAAAAAATCACATCCTCCAGTTGGTTACCTTTCTTTACCAATTATATTACCATCAAAACCCTGTGGAATTTTATTGATTACACTTTTCCTCAGAATACTGAATAATAAAAAAAGAAACTTCTATAATGTTTTTAGATAAACAATTTTAGAAGTTCAAAAAACTCTCAGAATCATATATTATTGATGCATTAGATAAACAAATAATCTGAATGGCATTTCTCAGGAAATTCACAGAATATAATTTATTGAATATCCATTTATAAATGAAGATACCATGAGACTGAGGTTTCCACTTGGTGTTTAGAGTGGCTTCCTAAAATCCTGACATAGAGGCAGCCAACCCAAGTCCTACCATCAGTATGATGACCTGACTTGAGGATGAATGAGAAAGACTATGGTGAACTGGAACAACTAATGGCCTGGTGCAGGTAACAAATGATTGAAAATGTTATAATTATTAGGAAGAGATGAGTCATACTGAACTGTATTAATGAGTCTTAATTCTGAGTGTTTAAATTTTAATTTCTCTTAACCTAACGAGCATACTGGCATATGATGATTAGCATGGTTGAATCATCATGTTCGGAACACCAAAAGGGAAGAACACACTCTGCATTTCTCAAGCTGAAAGAACCAAATAAAAAATTCAAGCCCTGAGTTGCAATACTGAAGGATTCTATGGGGAAAATATTAAACGACTCAGGAAGCATCAAAAGAAGATGGAAGGAATACACAGAGTCACTATACCAAAAAGAATTGGTCGATGTTCAACCATTTCAGGAGGTACCATATGAGCAGGAACCAATGGTACTGAAGGAAGAAGTCCAAGCTGCACAGAAGGCATTGGTGGATAACAAGGCTCCAGGAACTGACAGAATACCAGCTGAGATGTTTCAACAAACGGATGCAACACTGGAAGTACTCACTCATCTAAGTCAAGAAATTTGGAAGATAGCTACCTGGCCAATCGACTGCAAGAGATCCACATTTATGCCTATTCCCAAGAAAGGTGATCCCACCGAATGTGGAAATTATCAAACAATATCATTCATATCATGCACAAGTAAAATTGTGCTGAAGATCATTCAGAAATTCCAGTCGGATTCAGAAGAGGACTTGGAACCAGGGATATCATTGCTGATGTGAGATGGATCCTAGCTGAAAGCAGAGAATACCAGAAAGATGTTTACCTGTGTTTTATTGACTACGCAAAGGCATTCGACTGTGTGGATCATACGAAAATATGGATAACACTGCAAAGAATGGGAATTCCAGAACACTTAATTGTGCTCATGAGGAACCTGTACATATAGATCAAGACGCAGTCGTCCAAACAGAACAAGGGGATACCGCGTGGTTTAAAGTCAGGAAAAGTGTGCGTCAGGGTTGTATCCTTTCACTATACCTATTCAATCTGTATGCTGAGCAATAATCTGAGAAGCTGGGCTATATGAAGAAGAACCGGGCATCAGGATTGGTGGAAGACTCATTAACAACCTGTGTTATGCAGATGACACAACCTTGCTTGCTGAAAGTGAAGAGGACTTGAGGCACTTGTTGATAAAGGTCAAAGACCACAGCCTTCAGTATGGATTACACTTCAACATAAAGAAAATAAAAATCTTCACAACTGGACCAATAAGCAACATCATGATAAACAAAGAAAATACTGAAGTTGTCAAGGATTTCATTTTACTTGGATCCAGAATCAACACCCATGGAAGCAGCAGTCAAGAAATCAAAAGATGCATTGCATTGGGCAAATCTGCTGCAAAAGACCTCCTTAAAGTGTTGAAAAGCAACAATGTCATTTTGAGTACTGAGGTGTGCCTGACCCAAGCCGTGGTATTTTCTTTCGATTGCCTCATATGCACGTGAAAGCTGGACAATGAATAAGGAATACTGAAGAATTAACGTCTTTGAATTGTGGTGTTGGAGAAGAACACTGAATATACCATGGACTGCCAAAAGAATAAACAAATCTGTCTTTGAAGAAGTACAGCCAGAATGCTCCTTGAAGCAAGGATGGCAAGACTATGTCTCATATACTTTGGGCATGTTGTCAGGAGAGATCAGTCCCTGGAGAAGGACATCATGCTTGATAAAGTAGAGGGTCAGTGAAAAAGAAGAAGACCCTCAATGAGATGGATTGACATAGTGGCTGCAACAATGAGCTTAAGCATAACAACGACTGTGAGGATGGCGCAGGACCAGGCAGTGTTTTGTTCTGTTGTACACAGGATCACTACGAGTCAGAGCCAACTCGATGGCACCTAACAACAACAGCAACATGGTTGACTTCAAAATGCATGAAACTTAAAAGCTCAGCTCCTTAGAGAACTATTTTGTTTTCATTTTCTACATAGAAGGAAAAAGTAGCAAATGAGAAGTTTAACTGGGAAGAAGAGGTTTAATTTTAATACAATCGGAATGGTATACATGGCCTAGGATTAGGAGACCCATTCAGTCTTCTATCTGCTACATTGGTATTTACATACTGAGGAAAGTTGAACTGAGTGTGGAACTACTTTCCTCAAGAGCTTCAACTTTCAAATATCCACTGATGTTCACTGTCCTTTAATTGCTTAGACGGGAAAATAGATTAATAGAGTCCTAAAAGAGTTTGTCTTCTCATTCACTGACAGTTAACCAGAAAATTCAGTTAAACCAAATATCGCAAACACTAAGCATTCAAATCAGGTTTTAATCAACTACCTGAGTAAATTGGGACAGTTTATGAATCACTTACTACAACATAATAACAAATATTATAGATGTTCAAATAAAGGCAACTAATGTAAACCAAAACAACATAGCTGCACTATGTCTGTTATTCATATTGTGGTGCAATGAATAACTAAAACAGCCAGAAATCCCTAACACTTTAGTTAGTGGAAGCAACAAAATATCATAAACAAAAATGGAAAACTTTAATTTGTTGCATTTGAGCATATGAAAGCAGATAAAGTATTCAAACGTAGTGTTAACAATTAGCAAGGCAATTGAGATCATGGGGAAAGTAAAAAGAACAAAAAACAACAACACTGTTTCTCTTTCAAGAGAGATCAGCGGGTAATTTTATTCAGAATTCATTTTATAAGCTTCAAAGTTCCAAAACTATGATACATTAAATCTTCATATATTGAGCTGCTTTAACATGTATTTTTGAAAGAAACAAAGTTCAAACGTGTGCACCATTTTTAACTATCAACTTAAATTACTATTTCTAACTGAGTTATTTGATAAGAATTTATTCATGCATTAAAGTAAATTAATAATGAGTTGAATTCAAGACAAATTTTTTTTTTCTTTTTTCAGCAATGAAAAACAAAATTCACTGTCAACATCACAATCCGACTACCCAAAACATGAATATACTTACAAGGTCTCCAGGTTATCTAGTCCATCAAAACAGTGTTGACCCAGGCTTTTAATTTTATTGTTATGAAGATGCCTACAGAAAAAAGGCAAGCAATGATTTTTATAGCTCCCAATAGCAACTATTATCATTGTTTTGTATGTCTAAATTGATATGGCTTAAAGGAATGGTGTAGCTAAACATTTCAACACTTAACTACAGAAAACAAATAGCATTGGATAGTTATCTCCTGATATATATTACACAGACTAGAATTCACTGAATGTAGAACACCAATAGAAAAGGAAAATTTCTCTAATGGGAAAATTGCACACACATTGAAGAGTAGTTTTTATTTACCTATATCAAAATAAAAGTTACGATTAGCTCTTCACTATATGAAGCAAAACTTTGATGAGCTCTCCTATGGAGGTAGGGAATGATACGGAGGAAGACAGCCAGTTTACATCAGTGGGAATCAGGAATTATAAAAGAAAAGGCATTCCATTAGTTTACATTGTGAAAGATTCACAACACAGAGCACCACGTATTCTTTGAATAGAAAAGTTGGTAAAAACATGACCTACTCCTGGAACATACCGTCTGTGAGCATCTCAAAATGATTTAGTTTCCTTTAACACAGAACACATTGTTGGCACACAATAAAAGTGGTACAAGTGTTTGCTGAATGACTCAACTTCATTTCATGATTATAAATGGTCATTTATCATAGGGAGATTTGAAAGTTATAATCAGATTATTATTTTTTAAATTGTCCTAAAAAGTCAGCATAATTTAATCTTCAAAAACAGCAATTCCCCTAAACACTAACGATTCAGGGGAGTGAGCAATGAGATACTTTCATAATAATTTGTCACAATAAACCTGTTTTCTCCCCCAAATAAACATAATATGGTATTAATAGGGGTGGATACTTACAGAACCACCAGACTTGAAAGGTTGGTAAAAGCAAAATCAGGGATGCTTGAGATTTTGTTGAGTGCCAAGGTCAATGCCTGAAGAGTTGGAAGATTGCTGAGGGGATGGACAGGCACCTCCGTCAAGCTGTTGTCATCTAGCCACAGATGCCGCAACTGAACAAGCCCCTCAAAGCTGTCCTCGGGGACTAAGGTAATATGGTTGGCATCTAAGCGCCTGACACAAACAGAAACAACCACGTTCAGTAACAAATTCTAGCGGAATGAGTCGATCCCAGTCACATAATCCTCGGAGCTCTCAAAAAAAAAGGGAGTTATAAAAATTACCAGGGCCGTGTCATCCCTTATTTCTTTAATTTCACTGGAAGTTCTAATAAAATCTAATAACTTTTCCAAGAGCAGTATAGACAAAGTCAGTTCTTTCCTTCATAACAAAGGGATTTATCCAAACCTGAATCCTTCAAGTAACTTTAGTTAATAAGTAACTTTATAACAGAAGGATATATTTAAAAAAGAAAAGAACTCTCACAAAGCTCAGGCTTGAATTTTATGTTGCAGAATTATCAAAAATACAGAAAAACAGCTAAAGAAACTAAGCTAAGAAAATAAGCTACTTTACTTCCAGTTTTATAACTAACATTTAATATTTAATTTAATTGCACTCTGTTTTGGTAAACAAAGGGTGAGAAAAAATTTAGAAAATATTTACAAAAAAATTTTAAGTAACAAAGCATTTCAACAGATTTTCAACTATCCTTATTACCATCAGGCAAGTTAAAAATATAGCTGTTAGGTAATGGTAAAGCAACCTTTCTCCTCTTAGCACCACATACTTTCAAAAACTAAGTTTGCCAAAATTAACTGTTATTAGGGAAAGGTCAGATTGTCTACAGGAAAAATTAAGCTGCTACTCTGATCAACGTTATTATGGTTTTCAAGTTTAATTTTTCCAAAAAATTTCAAATTAAGGATCCCTTACTAATAGGTTTATTCATACTTAAAATTAAGACACCATCTGAAAATCTGGAAAACTAAGTCCTAAATGTGGCACAATGGTTAAGAGCTCAGCTGCTAACCAAAAGGTTGGCAGTTCCAATATACCAGCCACTCCTTGGAAACCCTATGGGGCAGTTCTATTCTCTCCTATAGGGTCACTATGAGTCGGAATCAACTTGACAGCATAGGTTTTTTGTTGTTGTTGTTGTTGTTGTTTTTTAATGTTATTGAAGAGCCCTGGTGGCAGAATGGTTAAGTGTTCAGCTGTTAACCAAAAGCTTGGCAGTTTGAACCACCAGCTGCTCTGTGGGAGAAAGATATGGCAGTCTCCTTCCATAAAGATTTACAGCCTTAGAAACCCTATGGAGCAGTTCTCCTCTGTCCTGTAGGGTCACTGTGACTCGATGGCAATGACTTTTGTTTTTTGGTTTTAAGTGTTACTGTTGGCATGACCAGATGTAATCATTGGAATAATCACTTTTCAACACAGAGACAACCTGGTATTAATATTAAGAGGGGCACTACGTTCCAGGCAAATCATAACTTTCCTCAAAATCCCCTGTTGCTATATCTTTACCACTTAAATTCATACCTTACAGGCTTGGATCTCTTGCTAAAAATTAGGGAATACAAAGAACTAGTGAGAAGTCAAAATGACAGAATAATTTTTATGAAATAGAGTCTGAAAGCTTTCAAGTTCAAGAAAGTTTTTCTTTTAGAGTGGCTTTTGTAATTTCAAATCAGGGCTTCGAATTGGTTCTTTCTGAGTTGACAGGAAAGATCTTTAACAAGCGCTTATTAAAATGTAGATTCTGACTTAGTATATCTGGGGTGGAAAGGCAAATTATCAGCAGGGTGTTGAACCAGAAAGGACTGGTTTGAAGCCCTGTTTCAAATATCTACTACCTCCAGTCCCCTAATGTACTTAAAATTTAGTTCCAGACATAATCTTCCCTTTCCCTTCCAGGCAAGGCTGGGCCCCAGCTCCTAGCTAACTACAGCAAACCTCAAATAGATTCTACTTCTGAGACTGATTTTAAAAAACCAGTTGCCCTTGAGTCAATTCTATCTGACTCATGGTGACCCCATGTGTGTCAGAGTAGAACCATGCTCCATATGGTTTTTAATGGCTGATTTTTCAGAAGTAGATTGCCTGGCCTGTCTTCTGAGGAACCTCTGGGTAGATTTGAACTACCAACCTTTTGGTTAGCAGCTGAGCACATTAATTATGTGCACCATGCAGGGACTCCTTGAGGCAGATTAACACCAAAAACCAAACCCTTTGCCATCGGGGTGAAATACCATCGGTCCTTGTGGGTATTTGACTAAGCCTTTCTTTCTGATGTATTTAGGATAAGTGAAAGAGCACTAAAAGAGGAAGAGTTTAGGAAACTGAGCCTTAAAAATCCGCCTGAAAACAAACATTTTCAGAGTTGTTTTTTCTTTCGGCTTTCTAGGTCGATCTCTGAGAAGACACAGGAATCCTCTGTTTAATAGGCTGTCAAAGTATTAGTCACAGAGCTGTTTAGGAGATTTGCTTTAGCAAGTAGATATGAATGTGCTCAATCACACACACACATACACACACACACACACACACACACACACAGAAACAATTCACAACCTCTTGGAGCTTCCATACTTAGGGAGAGAAAGACACTAACATACAATTATACAACTGACTACATACTGTAACTAAATAATTAACATAATTGAGTTATACTCTTAGCAAATTTGATCATCTTTAATTCATTCAATACATTTTAATTGAATACCTTGTTAGGCACAAAGAATAAAATGGTGGACAAAACAGACATGCCTGCACTCATGAGGTTGATATTCTTGGCGGGGGGGGTGACACAAAATATAATAAATACCAAAATGATTACAGAGTGCTTAGGAAGTGCTATAAGTAAATAAACAGCGAATCAGGACAATGAAGCAAAGATTAATGGGGGTTGAGGAGGGGTGCGCTGGTCAGGAAAAGCATCTCTGAGACCTGAAGAATGAGCAAACAAGGAGACTGGATAAGGAGTATTTCAGACAAAGGAAATAGCAAAGGCAGAGACAAGCTGGGTGTGGTCCAGCAACTTCCTGCAGGTCAGAGTAATTAGAACACAAATCAAAAAACACCAGTTGCCATGGAGTCAATTCCAACTCATGGCCATCTCATGTGTGTCAGAGTAAGACAGGGCTAGAGCCATAAAGCCATTTTTCTTAGCCTCAAGACAGCCCCTCACCCAGCCCATTTTCTAGAGTTGTTTCTTCTCCTCCTCAGAACCTCCCTGAAGAGAAACAGCCACGGGCTGGCCAAAATCGACTTTAAAACTGGTCCTGCTCCCCATCTTGGCACTCCAGATAACCTTTAGCTCATTAACTGCCTCATGCATGGTAAATTCTCTGCCCCTGGGTGGAGAGCTAACATGCTAATGAACAAAAATGGCTAACTTCCTCCTGTGTGGGGAATTGAACCCAGGCCTTAGAAAATGCTTACTCATTCTGGAACGCTCTGTGCCAGCATGCACGCCATCTTGTATTTTGTAACTGATCTTGCCTATGTAAACCAGCCTCAACAAGCTGCCTGCGAGCAGTCTTGGAAGGCACTTAGCCCTGACTGTTTCCTTGCTTGGCCAACCAATAAAGTTGCCTTTCATTCTCCGCAACTTGGTCTCTGTCTTTTTGGCTGAGCAGAACCAGGAGTTCCCGGCAACAAGAGTAGAACTGTATTCCATAACGTCTTCAATGGCTAATTTTTCAGAAGTAGCTTGCCAGGCCTTTCTCCTGAGGAGCCTCTGGGTGGACTCAAACCTCCAACCTTTTGAGGGGCAGCCGAGGGTGTTAGATTATAACACAAGAGGAAGGGTAATGAGGGTACAGGGAGATACATTTAGGGACCAGATTATACAGGCCCCTAAAGGCAAGGTAAGGGGTTAGGATTATAACAAGTACAAATAAAAAATGTCTTCCAGTTTCCCAATGTTACAGGTTTAAAAGTCTAAATTGCTTATTTGATTATACTGGTGATAACACTCATTTATATTTAACAAAATAATGAGTAATACTCCTTCCCATACGCACAAAATACCCCATTGAAATAAAATCTTTTCTATAAGTAAAGTTTTTCACTAAGATGTGGTAAAATACTATAAGGAAAGTTGTCAGTACCTTTTTAACATAAACCCAGTGCTATATACATCATTTACATTCCTCCAGAGCTTTATGCACTATATGATCAAAGAAAAGGAATGGCCTTAATTTATAGCAAGATAATCAGGTGAGTTTTGAGCTAAAATAGTAATGAAACTAATTTCTAGGCAAAATAATAATACCACAATAAACCATTTCCTTTGTACTAAAAGACTACCAAAATTTTGAAGTGACACATAAGTATAAGATTACAAGGAAGAATTTTGGAAAAATGGAACCCTCAAATAAAAAGTTATTTCATTTGGAAAAAGGATTTGTGGTGACTCAAATGGTTAATCCTTATGCCTCAATTCACATGTCAGTGTTGGTGGCACACCCATAACTGTAGAGTTTGCACTTACACTTGAGATCAACTTTTCACAGAGAAAAGGTCTTTTTTTTCTTCTTCTTCCTTTCTCTTAAAAACCCTGAGGGCTTCAACAGAATGACTAGAAAATACCTGTCCCATCTTCTGCACCTCCCTGGGGTTGAAAAGGATTACCCTCCAGTGGAATAAAATACACCCACTTGCTTCTTTAATCAATGTTCACTGGAGGGTGGGAGCGAAGATTAGGGGATGGGTGGCAAGGAAGTTAGAGGAATCTGTTACTGAGGAGAAACATCAGGGTTCAGGGTAATCAATCATCCATGCGGTTAATGGACTTGGATAGCTGGCTGGGACTGCTGAATCATTTCTCCTGCCCGCAATATGAATTAAGGCTAAATTAATCCAGTCATAGGAGGTAACACACAAAATGATTTGGTGACAATTAAAAAGAGAGATGTCAATTAGTGGGGGGGAAACAGCACAAATTAACTACCAAAGTGCTATGGTGACTAAGGAAAGGAGAGATTACTGGGGACTAGAACTGCGGCTTTTTACAGTGACCTACTCTATTAATATTCAATCTAACCAACAGGCCAAGAAAATACTATAACTGATTGTTTTTGTCGATGTTAAGCAGCATGAGATATCGCACAAAGTGGAGAGATTTTGTGGGCTTTTTAAGTTATTCTACCATTTAAACTCCATTTTGCAAGAGATAATTACCACCTTATTTAAATGCACTTTTATGATTTGGAGCCCTGGTGGCACAGTGGTTAAGCATTTGGCTACTAACCAAAAGGTTAAGCAGTTGAAACTCACCAGCTGCTCCTTGGAAACCCTAGGGGGCAGTTCTACTCTGTCCTATAGAGTCACTATGAGTCGGAATTGACTCAATGGCAATGGGTATACTATGGTTAAAAGGTTAAGAATGTGTTAACTGAATTCCCTTACTGTTTTCATCTTTAAAACATGCTCCTATTTTCTAGTCTCAAAAGCCTATTTTACATCTTACTCAGACTCAAGTATCTATTATTTCTTGCTCTAAACAAAATAAAATATAAAATAATAATTCTGTATGCAGTTATTAACTGATGAAAGTCTGTTACAAAAACCTATTCTATACAATGAAACACTCTCTCTTTTTTTCTCTACTCCTAACTGAAAAATAACATAAATCTTATAGTATTATAAACAGATTTTGTCACTAGTTTCTACTTTAAAAGTAGTAAAGAAATTCTGTTACTGTGGAAAACTTAGGAAAATTAGTCTTTGAGATCCTTTGGTATTCAATATAAATGTAATCTAACACAAAGAAAAATTTTAGTGGAGCTAATTCTTATATGTTATTTTAATATCTTGCTTTGATAATGCTTTAGCCATCTTCATGGTTTTGTGGGACACTGTATGCTGCCTTTTTATTAACACCAACAATTCCCTTTCATATTTTGTAGGTATCACCAAGCTTGCACACACGCTACATTAAGCCACTTCTGGTCAATTTCAACCTCTAACGAACTTTGCTCCTTTTAAGTACTACTTCAAAACCACAAGGAAATTTTTCCTGTAATTCAAGCCTGAAGATCAGATTTTCAGACTGACTCAAGTACTGATAAGACTGTTTTACACCAGGGCAGAATTTCAATTGTATCTAACCTGACCACTGCACCCACTATGCTAACAAACCCATGAACATTTCCTTCTTAAATAAAACAGGCATGGCACACAGCTCTTTGTGTTTCTGATACATATAAAACCATCCCAATGCCTTTAAAAAACAACAAAAAAAAAACTTTGACTCTTCTCTTCCCATGCCCCTCCTCCATTTTGGAGATAATTTAAACTATGCAACTCACTCTGTGAATGATGAATACAGTATGCTTTTTTAAAACATTGTTTTGGAGGAGGGAGAAACCTGTGATTTCTCTGAAAAACGCCATCTTGAATGATCTATATTACCCATAAATGTTATGTACAATTTTAATATATTTATTGATCACAAATTAGAAGGAAATTATTTGCATGTTACCATCACAATTTTTCAGTTTTAAAGTTCAAAATGAGATTTTAGTCTTCTCTTTTTAAGCCTTCTATGAGACAAAATAATTGAGTACTTTGATTACTAAGTCTTTGGAAATAAAAGCAACTCTGTTTGCCTATCCTAAAGCAAAATTAATTCTGAAGAAGCAAAAGAAAACAAGATCAATTTAAAATGTCTACTGAGTTTAGGTCTAAGGAATTCTTTCAAGGTAGGAAAGAGCGCAGAGTCAGCTAAATCACATTTCTGTAAAGAAGCTCATTCCAATCAGTTCATTAAAAGCATCTTTTCGGAACCTGCCTAATTACCTGTGGCTAATAATAGATCCTTATATTCCATAATTTGGCATTTTGGGGAAATGAGTTACTTAACATATTTCTACTTTAAACTTCTATTTAAACTAGAAATTAAACAGCCAACACCCAGAAACTCCTTGTTTATGATGTTAAATAGATTTTTAAAGTTTAACTTTTATAGCATATGATACGCTTTATTAGTACACATTTTTACTTTCACATTCACTTGTCATTATCTAATCTAAAATCAAAAGGTAATCTATAATTTATAATGTCTAGTGGTGTGCTTTTCATGCAGCTAAAATGTTTTTTTATATCAGCAAATAGATGAGACAAACAATTCACTCACTTTCACTTAAAGTTTTCTAACTCATACATTTCCTACAAAATTTTACATTTACAGTTATTTCAAAGGGTAGTAAAAAATGTGAAAGATTATTATACAAATATGTGATGTAGCTAAATGTAATTTTATAATCTGGAACACATAGGCGTGATAACTATTACAGTTTTTTTCAGGATTGTTCTCAAAATTTGGGTGTGCATGAGAATTATCAGGGGTAGATTTTTAAACATATGGCTTCCTGGACCCCTACCTTTAAAGAGAAAATATCAGTACTTGTAGGATAAGCCCTAGGAAATGGCATTTTAGCAATCTCCCACTAATGATTATGTTGCTGGTAGTCAAATTGCCATACTATGAGAAATTATATGCCCTAGTCCCATTGTATTTAACATGAATTAAAGCAGAGGACAATGAAAATTTTTACCCATTATTCTAGTGGAGCTAACAAAGTTCCTTGTTTTTAAGACTACGTTCTTATTTTGAGTTTTCTTCCCATGGTTGTAGTCTGGCAGCTTACTGAAAGGTTGGGGGTTCTAGTCCTCCCAGAGGCGCCTCAGAAGAAAGGCCTTGCAATTTACTTCTGAAAAATCTGTCACTAAAAACCCTATGGAACAAAATTCTACTCTGACACTTTTGGAGTTGCCATGAGTTGGAATCAACTCAATGGCAACTAGCTGGTAGTGTTGGTGGCTTCCCCTAGTTAGGCAAATTAGGCAAGCTAGTAATCAAAGGAAAGAACTGATAAACTAGGTCATCATCATTATTATTAACAATATTCATAGATTCTGCAACTGTTTATTGAGCACTTACCACAGGCTAGGCATTGTTCTGAGTGCTTTTCATGCATTAAAGTGCATGGTAGGCAATGAACAAATTGCCATGCAGAGAAATTAACATAACTCACCCAATATCACACCTTAAGTGGCAGATTTGGGATTTGAAACCAGACGGTCCTGTTTCAGAATTCTGCTTAATCTGAAATTATCTTTTTTTTTTTTTGAGAGCAACATGTATATTCTAACAAATATGCGAAGTGCTGTTTAAAATTCTGGCAAAAGTCAAATTGCAATAATCCATGATTTAGTTCAGTGCTCCTCAAACTCAAACTTTTCTTTAAGAGTACCCCTAGAGACAGAGAAAGGAGCCCTAGTGGCGCAACAGTTAAAGCACTCGGCTGCTAACCAAAAGGTTGGCAATTCGAACACACCAGCAGATTGGCGGGGGAAATGACCTGGCCATCCACTCCCATACAGATTAAACAAAAGAGAAAAACAAACCTGTTGCCATCTGACTCACAGCAACCCTTTATCAAAAAACCTGTTGCTGTTAAGTCGATTACAACTCATAGCAACCCTACAGGACAGAGCAGAGCTGCCCCGTAGGGTTTCCAAAGAGCGGCTGGGGGATTCGAACTGCCGACCTTTTGGTTAGCAGCCACAGCTCTTAACCACTGTGCCACCTGGGCTCCTAGCAACCCTATAGGACAGAGTAAAACTGCCCCATAGGGTTTGCAAGGCTATAATCTTTACAGAAGCAGACTGCCACATCTTTCTCCCATGGAGCAGCTGGTGGGTTGGAACTGTGGACATTTTGGTCAGCAGCCGAGTGCTTAACCACTGCACCGTTAGGGCTCCCTAGAAAGCCCTATGGAGCAGTTCTACTCTGTCACAAGGGGTCATTATACATTGATATCAACAAGATGGCATCTAATAACAACAAAGACAGAGGAACCTGTAGGAAGTCCCGGAGTTTTAGCCTTAACACTAGCCCCAAACATGCAATCCAGTTATTTAACAAAACTCTGTATATTTAATATAAAACATGTTGTTTCTCCAAAATCTTCTGTGGCTTTTCATGTCTCTCTGTGGTACCACTGCTTCCTGACTCATCCACTAGGTGGGTGGAGAGTATATGCATACCCAAACCTTAGAAGCAATAATTCCCATTCTCCAGGTTAAACACACACATACAAATACGTGTGTGTGTGTGTATGAAAAAGCATAAAAAAAGAGCCAAGTGAAGAGCTATTTGAAAAAGTGTTGGAAATTAGTGGCTGAATATAGTAAAATGCAGAAGTTTAAGCCTCGGACACGTCACATAAAATGAAACTTTTCTTCAAAAAGAAAAATCTGGGAAGGAAGCAGTGAAGGCAATTACATTACCCTCAATGTGTGTTCAATGTCCAAAGATGCGTAATTATATTTGATTTGTTCTAATTCCTATTACCCACCTGACGGAAGCCTGTGTCATAGTTATGGCACAAGAAACTAGAACTTCTGTCCACATGTTAACTCTGGTTCCAAAGAGGTGTTGATCACCAGCCTATGATGTGTGCCCAGCAGTAAAAACTCAGTTGCTTTCTCTCAGCCTCTGAGACAAGAGAGGAGGTCAACAGAACACCCTCTTTCTCTCTCACCAAAGGACACTTAGAAAACAACAACTTACCATCCCCATTTTTATCCCACATGAGAGCCTAACTCCTCCCTCCCTGGGATTCCAGTTGTTTACATAGCAGTAACACAGGTCCTCTTCAACTGATTCAAGAATACAGAAAACCAAAAAGTTACTTACAAAGACTGCAAAGCACTCAGTCCTCGAATGGCTTCACTGGGTACTGTTTTCAACTGATTGTTTTGGACTGTTCTGGAAGGAAATTTTTGGTTAGTGAATAACAAGCAATTGCTACCCCTTTCTTAGAAAAATTTAGTGCCATTCTCTCCAAAAAAAAAAAGAAAAAAACCTTTCAATAGCCAAAAAGGTGGGGTAGGGAGGGGGGGAGGATAGAGAGCACACAAAACAGAATTGAAAAAAAGCAAGAAGCATTTGTTATAAAGCCAGAAATGAAACGCAGGCCATTATACTAAGCCATCTCCTAATAGGAGTAAACTACATTTCCAAAGATTGTTTAACTTCTGGGAATTAAGGCACCCTAGTTAACATTCATTGATTTAGGTGCTGTTATACCCATGACCGTTGAGTCTATTCTGACTCATAGCGACCCTATAGGACAGAGTCCTATAGTATGTAATCTTTACAGAAGCAGACTGCCACATCTTTCTCCTGTGCAGCGGCTGGTGGATTCTGTCGGCCTTTCGTTTAACAACTGAGTGCTTAACCTTTACACCACCAGGGATCCTTAAGGTATTGTTAATTAATATTAATTGGGAGGCATACCAAGTTAATTAAGAGAGGTAACAAACCCATTGGAATCCCTAATGCCTTTTCAATTTGAATGAAGAAGAGTCCAGAAACATGGACAAGAGGAAAGGCCAATTCTGCTATTTCTCAGTGCATCTGGGGTCAGGGCAGAAATAGAGCTTTAATCATCAAATAGTTAGAACCTGAAGAACAGTACTACAAAGAGTCCTTTTAATTTTTGTCTAACATCATTACTAGGTACATTAATAAAATGATTGCTTCACATGAATTGTTATAATCGTAAAATGGAAGAGGTAAAGGACCTACCTAGCTCACTGAACAGAGAGGTCTATTGACTTGCTAAGGATCACCCAACAAGGTAATGACAGAAGTGGGACTGGCAGCCAGTTCACTGCTTCCCAACCAGCCACACTCCACGCTCCTGAATACAGCCAAGAATTTATATCCTCATCCCTCACAGGCTATGTAAATCATGTTGTTGTTAGGTGTCCTCGAGTTGGTTCCAACTCATATGACCCTATGTACAACTGAAGGAAACACTGCCCAGTCCTTCATCCTCCTCACAATTGTTACTATGTTTGAGCCCATTGTTGTAGCCACTATGTCAATGCATCTTGTTGAGGGTCTTCCTCTTTTTTGCTCTCGTTGAGGGTTTTCCTCTTTTACGCTGACCCTCTACTTTACCAAGTATGATGTCCTTCTCCAGGACTGGTCCCTCCTGATAACGTATTCAGGTTTGCTTTATGGCCTAAAATGTGGTCTATTCTGAAGAATGTTCCATGTGTGTTGGAAAAGAAAGTATACTTGGCTGCTGTTGGGTGGAGGGTTCGGTATACGTCTATGAGATCAAGTTGGTTGATTGTAGCATTTAGCTCTTCCGTGTCTTTGCTGAGCTTCTTTCTGGATTTTCTGTCCTTCACAGAAAGTGGTGTGTTGAAGTCTCCTACTACTATTGAGGAGCTGTCTCTCTCTCTTTTCAGTGCTGTTAGAGTTTGTTTTATGTATTTTGGAGCCCTGTCGTTGGTGCGTAAATATTTATCATAGTTATGTCCCCCTGGTGTGTTGACCCTTTAATCATTATATAGTGTCCTTCCTTATCCTTTGTGGTGGATTTTACTTTAAAGTCTATTTTATCAGAGATTAATATTGCCAGTCCTGCTCTTTTTTGAGTGTTGTTTGCTTGACATAGTTTTTTTCCATCCTTTGAGTTTTAGTTTGTTTGTGTCTTTAAGCCTTAGATGTGTCTCTTGTAGACAAGCAGCATATAAACGGATCGTGTTTTTTTAATCCAATCTGCCACTCTCTGTCTCTTTATTGGTGCATTAAGTCCGTTTACATTCAGCGTAATTATTGATAGGTATGAGTTTAGTGCTGTCATTTTGATGTCTTTTTGTGTGTGCTGTTCAGTTTCTTTGTTCCACTTAATTTTCTGTGCTGAGTCGTTTTTCTTTATGTATTTTCTTTTCATCTTTTTCACTGTTGTTGATTTTGTATTTACTGAGTCTTTATATTTTTCTAGTTTTCTATGCTGACTTGTAGGATTGTTAGTTTCCTTTCTGGTTACCTTAAAATTTACCCCTATTTTTCTAAGTTTATACCAATTTTTTGTTTCTTTACATTGCCTTGACTTCCTCTCCATATGAAAAATCTATGTCTATATTTCTTAAGTCCCTCTTTTTTGTTTTAATGTTGTCATCTTTTACATATTGACATCTGTTTCCCTATTTTCAGTGTTTTGGCTTTGACTTACTTTTGTGACTTCCCTATCTGGGTTGATAGCTGGTTGCTCTGTCCTGTGTTCTAGTCTTGGGTTGTTATCTGATGTTACTGATTTTCTAACCGGAGGACTCCCTTTAGTATTTCTTGTAATTTTGGTTTGGTTTTTGCAAATTCCCTAAATTTTTGTTTATCTGGAAATGCCCTAATTACATCATCAATTTGAGAGACAGTTTTGCTGGATATATAATTCTTGGCTGGCAGTTTTTTTCCTTCAAGGCTTTATATATGTCATCCCATTGCCTTCTTGCCTGCATGGTTTCTGCTGAGTATTCTGAGCTTACTTTTGTTGACTCTCCTTTGTAGATGACTTTTTGTTTATCCCTAGCCGCTCTTAAAATTCTCTCTTTATCTTTGGTTTTGGCAAGTTTGATTATAATATGTCTTGGAGACTTTCCTTTGGGATCCACCTTATATGGGGTTCAATAAGCATCTTGGATAGATATCTTGTCATCTTTGATAATATCGGGAAAGTTTTCTGCCAACAAATCTTCGACAATTCTCTCTGTATTTTCTGTCATCTCGCCCGTTCTGGTACTCCAATCACTTGTAGGTTACTCCTCTTAGAGTCCCACATAATTCTTAGGGTTTCTCCATTTTTTTTAAATCCTTTTATCTGATTTGTCTTCAAATAAGTTGGTGTCTAGTGCTTTATCTTCAATCTCATTAAGTCTGACTTCCATTGCCTCAATTCTGCCCCTATGACTTTCTGTTGAGTTGTCTAATTCTGAAACTTTATTGTGAATCTTCTGGATTTCTGATTGCTGTCTCTCTATGGATTCTTGCAGCCTGTTAAATTTGTCATTATGCTCTTCTCTAATCTTTTTAATTTCTTCTCTTGCGTGTTCTGCATTTTGATAAATTTCCTTCCTAACTTCTTGAAGAGTTCTGTATGTTAATTTTTTGTATTCTGCCTCTGGTAATTCCAAGAAATTTTCCTCCTCTGGAAAATTTCCAGATTCTTTATTTTGGGAGCTTGCTGAAGCCATCATGGATTGCCTCTTTATGTGATTTGATATTGACTGTTGTCTCCAAGCCAACAATAAGTGATTATATTTATTTATTTTATGTTTGCTTACTGTGTCCTAGCTTCTTGTTTTGTTTTCATATGCCCAAATAGGCTGCTCATGTGAGCTAGTTTGACTATTGGCACCCTTGAAGCTCTAATGTCCTGTCACAGGTGGTTAGATCTGTTACTAGGTATGTGAGTGCAGGAGTCCGCCAACTCCTTCTGTATGGATTCAGCTCAGGTACCCAGGTAGATAGCCACCAAGTGTGTGGTGTAGGCTCTCACTTACAGACCTAGACAGGCATAGGTGATTGGCATAGGCACAGGCAACTGTCTGCAGCAGGAGGACACACTCTGAGCAAGACAGGCGGCTGATGGCCACCCCTGAGTGTCCAGGAGGAAGGCATGTCCCTGTTCCCTAGAGCACGTAGGTGGGTGGGTTTTGCAGCCGGACTATGAGCACCTAATGCTGTTGCCTGTAAGGAGTGGGGGGCACCTCTTATTCATGGGCCCCTATCACAGGTGGCTAGGCGGTGTGGGCGGAGCCACCAGTCCTCAGGCCCCTGATGTAGGTAGGTGAAGACCCTGCTTAATGGGCAGAGCAGTGTCAAATGTCAAGAACCTGTCACTTCACAGCTGAAACAGCTGAAGTTAGACTTCCGGTATATACCCTGTTGTACTGCAATAATGAGGGCCTATGCTGTTGAAATGGGCCCACACAAGTCTATGCCAGGGGAAAGGCACTCAAAGTCCATGGATCCCTTATACCTGTGCCTAGGCAAAGGAGTTGTGCCTTCCCTGGGTTCCTGGCTTAGGGTAGCCAGCAGTTTATTTTTCCCATTTGTTAACTTGTTTACTCTCCAAGGCAGGGAGAATGACTCCTACTTCTGGCCCAGTAGACTCAGCAGTTGCTGAACCTGGTCTGGGACCCACTGCAGAGCAAGCAGCGGGGAGGTAAATGGGAGAGAGGTTTTTTCCCTAGGGGGGGTGTTTTCAATCCACGCAGTAGGCCATACGCAACTACTTATCTTTCGCCAATCCAGGGCTGCTTCTCACTGGTTCTGGGTGGCCATGTAGACTCTCTAGCACTGGGTCTCTCCCGGTGCAGAAAACATGCCTCCTGAGCACCACTGCTTACCTGCCTCACTGCTCACCCCCGAGCTGATCAGGACTGAAGGAGGTCAGGCTCTTGCCAGGTCAGGTCTGGTAACTCCTCACTGCTTCCAAAACATCTCTCCCTCCACCTGCCACTCAAGTCCAGTTCCTCAACTCTGCCTTTGATGTTCAGGGCTCCCAGACTGCCATAGATAATCAATTCACTTGTTTTTTCGGGTCTTTGTTGTAAGAGGGTCCACCGGAAGCGTCTGACTACTCCGCCATCTTGGCCTTGCCCCTCTGATAACATGTCCAAAGTACGTAAGACAAAGTCTTGCCATCCTTGCTTCTAAGGAGCATGCTGACTGTACAGTCGGGCCTCCATATCCGTGGGTTCCACATATGCACATTCAACCAACTATGGACTGAAAATATTCGGGGAAAAAAAAAAGTTCCAAAAAGCAAAACTTGAATTTGCTGCACACCGAGAACTATGCTGAATCCTCGCAAATGAAGTGATGTGTAGGCATCCTCTGCTGTAGCCTCCCACCATTTCACAGACCATCAGTCTCTCTAGCACTAGTTGTTTGAGCATTGTTCACTTTGTGTCTTGTTCGTTCGCAACTTGTGTTGTGTAGCCTTTGTTTCCGTGGGAAAAAAAAAAGCCTCCTAAAAAGCAATTAAGTGGTCAAAGCAATTCTGCAAAGGCTAAGAGGGAGTGTAAAGTGCTAACTCTTGATGAGAAAATAAAAATCTAAGATCATTAGAAAAGTGGCATGTTGCTGGCCAAAGTGGGCTGCAAAGTCAGTAAGAAAGAATAGAGCATTTGCACAATAAAGCAGAAAGAAGCTGAAATTCATGTAAGTATTAGTGCTGCCGTATAAGGGCAAAAAATGATCTCTCTGATTCATGATAAAATGCTTGCAAAGACTGAGAAAGCATTAAGTGTGTGGCTAGAGGACATGTCACAGAAGAATATCCCTGCTGATGGCAAAATTATGCATGAAAAAGCACTTAGTTTCTATAAGCACAACTGTGAGGGGATTGAGGAGAGCTAAAGGAAGAAGTAAGGGATGGCTGGCTAGCTATGCAAAGTGCTATCGCATCAAAAACTTAAAGATCATGGGAGCATCAGCATTCCCAGAAGAGCTCAAGAAACTCATAGAAGAGAGAGGATACCTTCCAGAGCAAGTCTTCAGTTGTGATTAAACAACTATTTACATAGCATTTACATTGTATTAGGTATTATAAGTAATCTAGAGGTGATTTAAAGTATACAGGAGGATATGTGTAGGTTATATGCAAATACCGTGCCGTTTTATATAAGGGACGTGAGCATCCATGAATTCTGGTACCTGAAGGAAGTCCTGGAAGCAATCCCCCACCAATACCAAGGGACGACTGTACTTCTTCCAAGACAGATTTGTTTGTTCTTCCAGCAGTCCATGGTATATTCAATATTCTTCCCCAACACCATAAGTCAAATGTATCAGTTCTTCCTCAGTCCTTCTTATTCACTGTCCAACTTTCACATGCATATGAGGTGATTGAAAATACCATGGTTTCGGTCACGTGCACAGCTTTGCTTTTTAACACTTTAAAGAAATCTTTTTCAGCGGATTTGCCCAATGCAATGCATCATTTGATTTCCTGACTGCTGCTTCCATGGGCACTACTTATGGATCCAAGTAGAATGAAATCCTTGACAACTTCAATCTTTTCTCTGTTTAACATGATGTCGCTTATTGGTCCAGTTGTGAGGATTTTTGATTTCTTTATGTTGAGGTGTAATCCATACCGAAGGCTATAGTCTTGGATCTTCATCAGTAAGTGCTTCAAGTCCTCTTCACTTTCAGCAAGCAAGGTTGTGTCATCTGCATAATGAGTCTTCTCCAACGCTGATGCTGCATTCTTCTTCATATAGTGCAGTTTCTTGGATTATTTGCTCAGCATACAGATTGAATAAGTATGGTGAAAGGATACAACCCTGACACACACCTTTGCTGATTTTAAACCACGTAGAATCCCCTTGTTCTGTTCAAACAACTGCCTCTTAGTCTATGTACAGGTTCCACTGAGCATAGTGTTTTGGAACTCCCATTCTTCGCAATGTTATCCATAGTTTGTTATGATCCACACAGTCGAATGCCTTTGCACAGTCAATAAAACACAGGTAAACATCTCTCTGGTATTCTCTACTTTCAGCCAAGAGCCATCTGACATCAGCAATGGCATCCCTTGGTCCATGTCTTCTTCTGAATCTGGCTTGAATTTCTGGCAGTCCCTGTCCATGTACTGCTGCAATCGTTTCTGAATTATCTTCATCAAAATTTTACTTGCATGTGATATTAATGATATTGTTCGATAATTTCCACTTCCTGTTGTATCACCTTTCTTTGGATCAGGCATGTTTATGGATCTTGTCCAGTTGGTTGGCCAGGTAGCTGCCTTCCAAATTTCTTGGCATAGACGAGTAAGCACTTCCACCATTGCATTTGTTTGTTGAAACATCTCGGTTGGTATTTTGTCAATTCCTAGAGCCTTCAATGCAGCTTGATAAAAATCATAGACACCTCAATCCCCTTTAATTCTAAAATGATTTTAATATTTAGAGTCCCTGTAAGTCTTTCTCCCTTTAGGGTCAGCTAATTCAAAGTTGTTATAACTATATAGCAAATAGAAACAAAACTGTTCAGTTCGCTTAAATATGGTTTTGATTCAATGCATTAGGCATACAAAAAGCCTAACTCCCAACTATAATACACTGGAGGTCAGAATGTCTGTTATTTAGGGTTTTAACTTTTGTTATCTAGACACAAGTTTGCTGAAATCAACCTCTAGCCTCCCATACTACCCATTGGCCATTTCTCAAATCTTTTAATCCTGAACTAAAAGAAACTGTGCTTAACCTAGCTCCAAGCATGTTGACTATGCAGAAAGAAAATACACAGCCAGCTGTGAAACTCTAAAATTGCATTACTTACAGAACTTTGAGTTCTTTCAACCCAGACAAGGCTTTTGGGTGGATAAAAGAAAGGTCGTTGCCAGCCAATCGTCTAGAAAAAAAGGCAGCAAGAGAAAAAAATAGTAATTCAGACTCTTGTAATTCAGAACTCATAATAACCTAATATGTGATTAAAGCTCTATGTTAAACATTTCTCAAGTCTCTCTGACATTAAACTTGGACTTAAATCTTTACTAAAATGATCCCAGGAGTTTTACAAAGAGATCAATTTCTCCAGAATTTTTTTTTTAACTCCCAATACAATCACTTAAACGGGCACATTTTTTATTCTGGTGAGGTCAAACAAGCCAAAACACATTAAACCAAATTAAGTTTGCTATTCACGGTCACTCTCGGCAGCTTGTGGGTTTTCCAAGGGCCTCATAAATGCAGACTACTGGTCAGCAAGCAAGAGTGTTTACACAGATCCCAGCAAACTCGCCTGTTAAAAGCAGGGCTGCCTTCTGGAGGCAGACAGCACGTTATCTCTGCATAACCAAGGGCAGCATATTCTGTTTAACTGGGAGGCAAAAAGTGAAAGTCATTGTAAGCTTAACTTTCTAAAACAAACGCTTATTTATTTATTTATTTTTTTAATAAATGTGGTCCTAAAGAAATTTTAAACTGACAAATTTAGATGAGAGTAAAAGGGGAGTAAAGTGGTGGAAACTGTTAATGAGCTCAGCTGCTAACCAAAAGTTTGGAGGTTCCAGTTCACCCAAAGGTGCCTTGAAGGGAAGCCCTGGCGATCTACTTTCAAAAAATCAGCCATTGAAATCTCTATGGAGTACAGTTCTACTCTGACACACATGGATCACCATAAGTCGGAAATGATTCAACAGAAATTTTTTTTTTTTAAGGAAAGGGTAAAAATTCCTCGAGTCCTCCTGTAAGAAATCCTCTCGTTTTCCTGGGCACACAGAAATGGGAGAAAAAGTTGAACAGAGGGCATTAGGTAGAAGAAGCAGGAAACAGGAGAATTCACATAACTTGTAAACAGGTGAACTGAAGGAACGTTATCAAATACTTAAAAATGATAACTTTGTGTCCCTATGATGAAATACAGGACTCGCCTGGTTTCCTGGTCTGCCGCCGAACTCGAAAGCAGCTGGATTCTGTATCTACGGATTTCTTTTTAAACATTCTTTTCCCCTACTGTCTCGGGGCTACACAGTTATCGAGTCATATTATTTCCTTCTTTAAAAGGTCTATTTTCATCTATCTTTTCTATTCCCCCTGTCAACACTATGGGTCTCTGGGTCTTATTCATTAATTCATTCATTTACTAAAAAGTTTTATTCATTCATGTAACAAAATGAGCGCCCACCAAGTGCCCAGTCCCACCCTGTGTGGTGCAAAGTTAACACCTGTGGTTGCTAATCAAAAGGTAGAAAGTTCGAGTCCACCCAGAGGCATCTCAGAAAAATGGTTTGGCGATCTACTTCTGAAAAATCAGCCATTGAAAACCCTGTGGAGCAGAGTTCTACTCTGACACATGGGGTCACCATGAGTTGAAGCCGACTCAACGGCAATTGGAAAAACCAAGTGCCAGGCATTGCACTAGATATTCAGGTGCCTCAGAGCACACTGACACAGTATCCTCTTCACCTCCTTCCAATCTGCTCCACCTATACATTCTGATTTTAGGGACACAGGAAACTTGAAGTCACTGATGTCTGAAAGTACTTTTAGAGGCACTGTTTTCTCTTGAAGTTTGGTCCCAGTTAATATGCAAATACTTCTGGGAAGGATAATACCTGATCCTTACCTAGCATTAACATAGAAGTGTGAACAAGTAGGATTCCTGTGTATGGAAGGTGTGTGCAGGGAGGAAGAGTGAGGAAGACAAGGTGGGGTGGAGAGGAATCACCAGAGGTCACAGAAACCAAAGGGGTGAGTTTGTAAAATTATTTCTTCAATACCAAGGATAACAACACTGGATTCTCAGGTAATACTACAGCTTTAACACAGGGTTTATGACTCTAAACTAAATTCTTCCTAAAAACTCCTCTTACCATGCACTTCATTTCTCACAAGGCACTCTAGCACCTAAACTTTATACTGAATGACTTTCAAGGCTTCTCATAATCCGGGCTCACAGTATGTCACTTCGTGCCATCAGCCTCAGACTTCACCATATGTAAAACAAAGAATTGAAGAAGATAGTTTTACGGTCTCTTCAGTGTCTCCATTTTAAAATATTTCTCCAAAGCAAATCCTCTTGATTCTAGACTACCCAGCTTCACCACCACATCTTTTAAATGCTTCACCTAGCAGCCTCATTTCACACCTTCAAGATCTGGCTCCAGTGCTACTTCCCTTCAAAACTTCAGTTCTTATTAACATGCTCCATGTCTGAATTCTTAGAGCTCATAATTAAACTTGATCACAAGCTACCTTCTACTGGTTGTTTCCTGCACGTTAGTCTTGTAGGCCAAATACAAACTCTTTCAAAGACAGACCATGACGCTCACACTTCGGTTGTTGTTAGTTGCCGTCAAGTTGATTCCGAGTCATGGCGAACCCATGTGTGCAGAGTAGAACTGTGTTCACGTGGTTTTCAAGGCTGGGACCTTTCGGAAGCAGATCGCCAGGCCTGTGTTCCAAGGTGCCTCTGGATGGGTTCAAACTGGCAAGCTTTTGGCTAGTAGTAGAGCGCTTAACCATCTACACTACCCCTACACTTAGTTTTTGTTAGGTGCCATCAAGTCGGTTCTGACTTATAGCAACCCCATGTACAACAGAATGAAACACTGCCTGGTCCTGAGGCATCCTCACAGTCGTTGCTATGTTTGAGCCCATTGTCGCAGCTATTGTGTCAATCCATCTTGTTGAGGGTCTACCTCTTTCTTGGTAATGCTCTACTTTACCAAGTATGATGTCCTTCTCCAGGGACTGGTCCCTACTGATAACATGTCCAAAGTACATGAGATGAAGTCTTGCCATTTTCACTTCTAAGGAGCATTCTGGCTGTACTTCTTCCAAGACAAATTTGTTCATTCTTCTGGCAGTCTGTGATATATTCAGTATTCTTCACCAATACTATAATTCAAATGCATCAATTCTTCAATCTTCTTTATTCACTGTCCAGCTTTGGCATGCACACGAGATGACTGAAAACACTGTGACTTGGATCAGGCGGACCTTAGTCCTCAAAGTAACATCTTTGCTTTTGAACACTTTAAAGAGGTCTTTTGCAGCAGATATGCCCGATGCAATACATCATTTGATTTCCTGACTGCTGCTTCCATTGGCATTGATTGTGGATCCAAGTAAAATGAAATCCTTGACAACTTCAACCTTTTCTCCATTTATCATGATGTTGCTTATTGGTCCAGTTATGAAGATTTTTGTTTTATGTTGAGGTGTAATCCATACTGAAGGCCGTAATCTTTGATCTTCATTAAGTGCTTCAAATCTTCTTCACTTTCAGCAAGCAAGTTTGTATCATCTGCATATCGCAAGTTATTAATGAGTCTTCCTCCAATCCTGATGTCACATTCTTCTTCATATAGTCCAGCTTCTCGGATTATTTGCTCAGCATACAGACTGAATAGGTATGTTGTAAGGATACAATCCTGATGCACACCCTTCCTGATTTTAAACTACACAGTAATATCCCCTTGTTCTGTTCGAACAACTGCCTCCTGGTCTATGTACAGGTTCTGCATGAGCACAATTAAGTGTTCTGGAATTCTATTCTTCGCAATGTTATCCATAATTTGTTATGATCCACACAGTCAAATACCTCTGTATCGTCAATAAAATACAGGTAAATATCTTTCTGGTATTCTCTGCTTTCAGCCATCAGCAATGATATCCCTCGTTTCACATCCTCTTCTGAATCCAGCTTGAATTTCTGGCAATTTCTTGTCAATTATTGCTGCAACTATTTTCGAATCATCTTCAGCAAAATTTTACTTGCGAGTGATATTGATATTGTTCGATAACTTCCACATTCCGTTGGATCACTTTTCTTTGGAACGGGCACTAATACGGATCCTTCAATTTGGATGGCCAGGTAGCTGCCTTCCAAATTTCTTGGCATAGACGAGTGAGCACTTTCAGTCTTTCGTCCGTTTGTTAAAACATCTCAGTTGGTATTCCATCAATTCCTGAAGCCTTGTTTTTCACCAATGCCTTCAGTGCCGCTTGGACTTCTTCCTTCAATACTATTGGTTCTTGATCATATGCTACCTCCTGAAATGGCTGAATACTGACCAATTCTTTTTGGTATAGTGACTCTGTGTATTCCTTCCATCTTCTTTTGATGTTTCCTGAGTTGTTTAATATTTTCCCCATGGAATCCTTCAATATTGCAATTCAAGGCTTGAATTTTTTCTTCAGTTCTTTTAGCTTGAGAAATGCTTGGCATTTCTCAAGAACACTTCTGTTACCACTGACCAGAATGACAACTCCTCAGCCAAAAACTGCTTTCGCAGAATGTCCTCCTTCAAAATGCTCACCATTTCAATGTCAGAGCACCCAATAGCCAATCTTAGCATAAGCTTAGCGGAAGTCCTTCCAAACGTCATTCCACACCCTAGGCTCACTAATTAAATTCAATTGATAATGTTCACAGCTGTAATGCAACGCATTTAAAAGGTCACATTTTAAAATATTAAACTGCACAATAAGAGCTTAAAGGAGCAGTAGTCGTCTTTTCCTAGGACCTCATCTAGTTGTCTGAAAGACTTGTGTTAAAAAGCTAGAGCCCGCCTCCTCACCCCACACACCCTAATATAAACTAAATTTGGGGGATGTTACAGGATTCTAATTCTTTTGGCTTTAATATTAGTTTGAAACGTCCTCTATCCATGGGCTTTCCTTGAGAAGTCCAGCCTGGTGTGCTGAGGCTCATGAAAAATAGCATTTTGTTAAGTAACAAAGGAAGTGGCAAAATACAGAATACCTGATAATCTTTACTTGTCAACAGATTACAGTGTTCAACCACATTAGCCAAAATATTTGCTTCCTTTTCCCAAATCTCTGTCCCTTTATAAACCATGAGAAAACTAAACTAACTTAGCTTCAAAAAGTATCCTCTTTTCT